CTTACACCTTTTGTATAGAAATGATTCTTTTTATTGTTAAACATGAAATGGAAGTGACAGAAACCACCTGACCATTAGCATACAGTGTGTGTGTGTGTGTGTGTGTGTGTGTGTGAGTGAGTGTGTGTGTGTGTGCAGATGTCGTTCGCTGGACATTGTGGGAAACAATGACATCACGGCATTCTGGGTCACAGCAGGCATGAAGGTGTGAAGTCTGGGAACTTTAGTGAGAATGAGTGTGCCTGTTCTCTCTCAGGTCCTGTGGTCTGTCTGTTATCTGGGTTATTTTTATCACAGGAAAGGCCTTTTATTTGTTCTTCAAATTTAGTTACATAGTGTCATAAACTCTTTCTCATTCAGAATGTGAGAGCAAAGTTTTGTGTTTTGGAAACTGTGCTGTTCATATTTTGGTGACTCTGATGATGTGAAATTGAGCGCCATTTAAAAAAAAAATAGATAAGGGTGAAAACAAAGAAAGATTAGGGTGAAAAACAAAAAACGTTTAGCATAGCTTGTCAAAGACTGAAATATGAAATACATGAGAACTTCAAAAAAATATTTAAAGTTTTTTTTATTTATATATATTTTTATGTATCATTTTAAATTAAATGCAGTTTACAGTACAAGCAATTTTATATTCAAAACGATTCTTAGTTAATTATATATTTTATTATGTATTTCATATTTTGTGTTTATATTCATATTTTATATATCATTTTATATTAAATGTAGTTTACAGTACAACAAGCAATTTTATACAGTAAATAATTTTATATTTATTTTATAGCTTTTCAAAATTTTTTCATTTTAAAATTTTTCACTTTTTCAGATTTATGTATTTTAAATTATATGTATAATTTTGTATATGCACTGTGTGGTATCGCGACATCACTCTAAATACATATATATATCACGTTTACAGATTCTGCATCTGCTGTCAGAAATTTTGCATATTTTCCCGCCAAATCAGTGCAGCAAATCCCTAAAAACGTCTTGTGTAATTGTATAGTAATCTGTATAATGGAGTAAATGTGGGTCAGTGACCTCCGACTGAAGAGGTCAGACTTTTGCAGTTCGCTGTCGCCACGGTAACAGAGTAGCATTGGGATGCAGTGATGTCACGGCTGGAAACAGGAAGTGGTTTGCGCTGTTAAAGCGACGTGAAGCATGCGGTGCGTCGGATCTGGATCTCAGTTTCAGACACACGAGCCGCTGCAGCTGTAGATATAAATAATCACACGGCCGAGGATCAGATATCAGCCTCAGCACACCAACAGCACTTCACATACATTTATTCACTTTCTCAGAAATACTGGAATCAAACTATGCAATGTACATTTATTCATAATGCATTATGAGGCACATTATGATTATTTTGCCAATAGCATCTGTAAAGCTTAGCCTGCATTTTATTATTGTAAAAAGTATGGTTAAATTTTTTTAATGCATTATACTCTTTAAATGTGTGCATATTCATATTCATATTCATAGGCATATAATATAATATAATATTTTAAATAAGAATATTATATGCCTTTGTACTTTTGACTGAATTGCCTAGCAACTTTTATGATTGTTGTTTATTAAATATTATTATTCAATGAATAATATTTTATATAAATAATAGTAATATTTAGTATTGGGAAGCAGTGTTCGTGATGGTGTTTTTAGTTACATTGTTCCGCCATTAAATGGCAACAATAGACTGTTTTTACGAGTCAGCAATAAAGACTTTTATATTGAAAAAGACTAAAACGGAAGATATATTTACTTTAAACAACAGCTTGTAAGACGCAAACAACAAATGCACTGAGCAGCGCTATCATCGGAAAGCACCCTTAACAGATGAAAGTATAGTACGACAAAGATATCGCTTTCCTCAGCGGACATTAAAACTAACGTTTTATTGAGAATATGAGACTGAGCTGAAGAATGAATGCTGGATCAGATGCAGGTAATCACTATACATACTACACTGCTTTTACTACAATAACACAATAAGCTTTTAATGAAGCAGCTCAACGTTCCTTCGTTACTAGTTCTAAAGTGACTTTTTTGAATGAATAACGTAATTAAATTACCTACGGCCGAATCACAGCTGTGCTGATATACAGCCATATCTCACATCTACTCATGTGATATTGCTCATATTTATACTTTTATGTATTTACTTTTAGTGGTGAATGATTTCTGCAGTCGGACATTGAGTTTGGTCCATGAAGTTGTCAGGTTTGTGTTTGTCTGTAAGCCACATCAGCTCAAACAGCTCTTTTGAAGTGGATTTATGCTTGTTTTTCTGAGCGCTGGCTTTGGACGGAACTGCAGAGACGAGTGAAAAGAAAACCGCTGTTAACAGGTTAATGTAACGCAGGGGTGCCCAACCCTGCTCCTGGCGATCGACTGTCCTGCAAAGTTTAGCTCCAACTCTAATCAAAGACACCTGCCTTTAATTTTTAAGTGATCCTGAAGACCCTAATTAGTTGCTTCAGGTGTGTTTGATTAGGGTTGGAGCTGAACTTTGCAGGACAGTCGATCGCCAGGAGCAGGGTTGGGCACCCCTGATGTAACGTTTCCCATTCCATGACTAGTAATAAAATAATGGCAACTTAGTGTCTGTATAATATTGAACATGATGACCCGCTGCAGTAACACCGCAGTACAGTCATGATATCAGCTGCTAATAACAGGACACTTCCATAATATACTACAGTATTCCCATCGAGCACTGCTGTGCTGTGATCATGAGACTGTGTGACGCGGGCCGTTAGTTGTGACCCTTCTGACTCCGTCTGACGGACAGCAGCTGCTGCAGAGGTCAGAGGTCAGGGAGTCCTTAGACCATCTCAATCTGTAATAAGAGATACTGTACTTTCTTACTGTACAGCGCCTTGGGATGGATTTGCAAGAAAATGCTTTAGAAATGTAATAATTTTATAATAATAACAATACTAATTTATATTTTAATTATTTTATGGTTAGGTTTGATTTTAATAAAGTTCTTATTTTATTATTTTATTTAGTAAGATTAATATTAGTTTCTTCTTTTTGTTATTTATTTTTTTGTCAACTTATAAAATGCTTTAAGAGCTTTTTAAGCTATTAAATATATATGTGTATATATATACCGATACCGATATTAGGGAGTTAAAAAAGGCCGGGATCCCTTCAGCTTGAGGAGCCCTCTCGAACGCCACCCTCGGCGCGTCGGTAGCCCCCCGGGATCACTAGATCGGTCGGCGCCGGACTGCGAATTTAGCCACTCGTAACTCCTGAACCCCGGGGGCTATCGACGCGGGGGTGGTCTCATTCGATATCGGGCTCTAATAATAATAATAACAACAATAATAGTTTGTTTCAATTTATAAAGCTTTAATTTATTCAAGATTTGCAATGATAATAATTTTTATTATTATTATTATTATTATGTATATTTTTATTAATGGTAAAGTTTTTGTTTTAAACTTTAATGTTTTTATTATTTTATTATTTATAAATTATTATTATAAAGCGCTTTAAGATTTGTGTTAAGCACTTTATAAATTGAAATAATATTTGATTATTATTATTAAAGTAAAATTTAATAGTTTTTATTTTATTTCAGTTTATAAAGCACTTTAAGATTTGCAATAAGCACTTTATAAATGTAAATAATTTCTTATTTTTCTTCTTATATTTTATTATTTATAAAGTGCTTCAGATTTGCAATGCTAAGCACTTTATAATTTGAAATCGTGATTTATTATTTATTATTTTATTTTATTACATCAATTATAAATGCTTTAGGATTTACAATAGGCACTCTATAAATTTACACAATAATTTATTATTAATAATAATAATCATCTTTTAATTAATAAAATAAAATACGTTAATACATTTTTTTTGTATTTTATGATATATTTGATAAAGTTTATATATTGAAATAAGGATATTATTATTATTATTATGATGTATCTCCCCTTACCCCTCATGCTCGTGAGTGTTTTATTAAGGCTCTGTGTGTGAATGAAGGAATCTGTGTTTGTGTTCAGATTACACTGCTGAGATTAACCAGTCGTGTCACACATAATCTGATTAGGATCTGGCTGGAGAATACACACGCACACACACATACACACTCACACATGCATGCACACACACACACACACACACACACACACACACAGCTCCAACTCTGGCAAAAACCTAAAGGAACACAGGTCTCTCTAATCCAGGATAAACACGACAGCACGGCTGTGCACTCAGAGGGGTTTCACTGTCATTCAGACATCGCCACTCGTCAGTCAGAGACAGCAGAGCTTTAATTAGAGATGGAAATATGATCTGGATGAAGGCAGCAGGAAGTGACTCTGTTAGAGACAGGAAGCACAGTGTAAATCTGCAGCTGACTGACAGTGAGGGTCAGTGCGACTGATGTTCAGATGAAACACGTGTGTCTTTATGGCTCGGTGACGTGAACGACAGCTGCTTGTGTTCAGAGCGTCCATCCCAAAAACACGTCTCAGAAAACAGCAAAAACACACAGAGAGCTTTTACTACCAGACTTCTGTTTACAAGTTACAAAATTAACTGAAAAAACTAGTGCATAAAACATAACTACATGAGAAAATATTGTGTACTACCAGCATGACAGCAGTAATGTAATACCATTTAGATGCTATCATAGTATTTATTTAGATTTTTGAAATTTGTTTTCATTTTAATTTCAGTTAAATTTTAGCAATTTTGTTGTGTTTTGTATATATAGTTTATAATTATTTATTGATTTATTTGTTAGTTTAGTACATCGTCAAACTAAATGAATATGAGAAATGTTGTCAAAATATGTCTATATTTTCTAGTTCATGTCTATATTTTCAGTTTTAGATTGAGTTATTGTAGTACATGAAGTTAAAGTAAATAAAAATGAGAAATGTAGCCTTGGCAGCTAGCTGAAATAAAAAAAAAAATGTTTGTGTGTGTGTGTGTGTGTGTGTGTGTGTGTGTGTGTGTGTTTGCAGGACGATAAGGACCTGGTTCATGAGTTCGTTATGGCTGAAGGTCTGACGTGTTTGATTAAGGTCGGCGCTGAAGCGGATCAGAACTATCAGAACTACATTCTCAGAGGTTCGTTTGCTTTATTTGTATGCTCAGACTTCTGAAAGAAAATAATATCTCATGCATTATAGATGATGATTTTCTGTTATTTTATTTTCATATCCATATTAGGGAGAACAGCGCCACCTTTTGGTTGCCATTTTCATTACTATAGAAAACCATGCTGTTTTTAACACACTTTTTTGATAAACTATTTACTGTCTTTAGTATTGTGATAAATGTTTCTTCATAATACCCTGTTATGGTGCTTCTGTAAAAGTTTTAATCATGTCACAAGCAAGTCACAAAGAAATGAAATATAATTTTTTTTTTGCATTTTCAACATTAAGTAAAAAAAAAATCTCCCTAAATTCACTGTAATGCTAAAAATGTCATTATGATTCCTGTAATTCATCTGAATTCTTCTGAGATTTATTTCTGTATTTTGTAATTATTTTTAAATAATAATAACAATGGTTAACATTATTGTAATATAGTTATTTTTCATTGGAATTAGCAGGAATTTAAAGCCACACCAAATACTACAATAATTTATACATTTTTAAAATAATTAATGCACAACTAATAAATAATTAAAACTAGAAAAATAACTAATTATACTTTATTTATAATATTAAATTAATAATTAATTGTTATTAATTATTAATTATTTTAAAGCAACACCACATTCTACCGTAATTTACGATTTATTTTTAAAATAATAAATGCACAATTAATGAATAAGTAAAACTAAAAGATGAATTAATGATACTTAATTTATTATTTTAAATTAATAATGAATCATTATTAATAATTAATAATTTTAAAGTAATACCAGATTCTACCATGCTGCATTATTTTTTAAATAATAAATACACAACTAATAAATAATTGACACAATTTTTTTTAATTATGCTTAATTTATGTCTATAAATTAATTATTACTTATAATCGATCATTATTAATTACTAGTTATTTTAAAGCCACACCAAATGCTACCATGATGCATGAATTTAATAATAAATACACAATTAATAAACAATTAAAACTACAAAATAATTATACTTTGTTTATGATTATAAATTAATACTTAATTAAAATTAATAATTATCAATAATTTTAAACCACACCAAATACTACCATGATGCATTAATTTTTAAATAGCAAATACACAAATAATAAATAATTCAAACAAAATAATGAATTAATTACATTTTATGATTATGAATGAATAATTCCTGATAATGTATTAATTATTAACTATTAAGGAAGCCATGCCAAATACTAACATCATGTGTGTTTTCTTTTTAAATAAGAAATAAACTATTAATAGTCATTTATATCCAAATGAAAAAGTATTTTGCAGCTGGGATGCAAAATATTTGACTTCTGCAATCTCAATAAAATTGGTTCAAAATTGGTTCATCCTGAGCAATGTAACGTGTCACATGACACCGACTTATTCATCATTAGAATACAATCACACAGTGAAGAGTTACTATAGAGTGTCAGAATAACCCTAAATATTATTATTAGCTCTGACCAATCAGAGGCAGCATCCAGGCTGCTAAGCCCCGCCCACTTCCATCAGGTTTATGCTAATGAGCGTTCAGTGGTGTGTGTTTGTCTCTGCAGCTCTGGGTCAGATCATGCTGTATGTGGACGGGATGAACGGGGTCATAGGTCACACCGAGATCATCCAGTGGCTCTACCTGCTCATCGGCTCAAAGGTGACGCGCCGTTTGATCAGTGTGTGTGACGATCAGAGTAAGAGTGAGATCTGATCCGTGTGTGTGTGTTCA